GAGGACAGCTCTGCCTTTGGGGCAGAAGGGATGACGTGCAGGTCAGTGTAGTGTGTGTGCACACAGGGCTGCTGTCTGAACTAGAATTTTTCTAAACTGTTAAGTGTATGAAATGATTGTTTCAGTACATATCAGATTCTGCTAATCCTATCTGTCCTGAAACTTTGCTCCATTTAAGCTATCTAGAGTATAACTATGCAAATACCCAAATTAGTCAAAGGTACTAATGGGTTGTGTTGTTTAAATCTTTCATGATGGTGATAACAGAAGGAGGCCTAAGTTTTTTTTTTTTTTTTTTTTGGGGGGGGGGGGGGCGGGAGGAAGTATCTTAAACCCCCCTTCTACTTCCCTGACTCTCAAACCCAATTCTTGCTGAGTAGGTGGACTTATTTTCAGGGACTTCTTCCAGCTGCAGTCTTGACTGTTAGTCATCTCGGTGTGGCTGAGATAACCCACTGGGGTTATTGTCATACCAGCTCCAAGAGGAGCAGTGATGGAGGCAGAAACACAGTGGGATGAAGCTGAGTAGAGCAAGCAGTTTTTTGGAAACCTCAAATGTACGATATTGGTGCCTAATTCTCTTGTGATATCATTTGTATCGTGTTCATTACTAACATTAACATGACAGTGGTAGCCTATAAACTGCTTATAGGAGTCCTACTGAAGTTGACACTTTGTCCTGACCTGTAGCCGTATGAGATGTTGTGGTGTGACAGTGAGGTGGGACTGTGCTTGCCACAGTGAGATTGATCTGCCTGTTTGCTTAGGCTGTGATGTTGAAACTGTTTATGGAGAGAACTAGACTAAGATTAATCCTCTTCTAATGCATGCTGAAAGGACAGTTTAGGGAGAGCCTAGACTTGAGTAATGAGGTATTTATTGTCTTCCATCCATCCTACTAATCTGTTGCATGCATTTGATTTAATTGCAGAATTCTTCCATGGGTATGTTTGTGTTTTTTTTTTTTTTTCCTGTACGTTGAATAGTAATAGTTATATGTCTGGGTGAACCATGCCTTGGCTTGCAAAGCCTTTTATATGAAGGGCTGAGTAAATAAAATTTGCGTGAGGGTGGCTGTAATGGTTCATATTGAAGGTTCTTCTAGCTATAGCCCATCTCTGACAGTGGTTTGTAGCAGATGCTTATGAACAGTACAAGAACAGAGCAAATGTATGGCAGCACTTCCTACCTGCGTGCTCTCAGGGCTTAGGCCGTTCTGTGGCTTAGAGGCTTCTCTGACAGGAGGTTGATATCTTATTGCAAGTAGTTGGGTTGATATTGGAAATCTCTTCTTGACAGTACACTAACGATGGGAAGTCTGCATGAGTGAACTTAAGGATAGTGATGTCTGAGGCAGGTGACTGCTGTTCCTCTGGGTAGGAGATTTGGGTTGGCAGCCACGCTATTAACTCTCTTCCCACTAGAAAGAGAATATTCTTTTTTGTGAAGGCAATTAACGGGACCTTTGTAAAGGGAGGGGGGAAGCCAGTGGATTTAATCTCACATCTAAAGATGAGGCCCTGCTCAGAAATAGAGGCCTGCCCTCTGGCAGTGAGGTGTGGAGGCAGGGGAGAAATGTGACCAGCAGTGTTGGGCGTATTTGTGAAGGATAAAGAGAGCCCCTCTAAAATGAGTTGGGACCTGACCTCTAACGTACAAAGGCTGTTCTATTGTCTGAATTAGCTTTTAATACTGCAGTGTCACATACCGAGATATTGCATACTTGGTGTTCTGCAAAAATCTGATCAGGCTCTCTTAGTGTAGCTCATGAAAGATAAACGGTGACCACGGAGTGTTAGCCCTGAATGTTGTGCAAGAATGAGAAACTGTTAAATTTCATTGCTCTTTAACCATCTCTTGATCAGTCATAAATTTAAGACCCTTAAAAATGGAACAATCTAGTGTGTCCTTCCAAAAATGAGGTCAAAGCTGTTGTCTGTTGGTTTCTGGGTGTCCTCCTAAGCAGGAGCTATTTTTGCCAGCCTTTTAAATTATTGGAATCCCTACCAGACTTGCTTTATCTCAGCTATGTGTTCTTTTCAGGCATGGGTATCTTATTCTGCTTTCTCAACCATACACAAATCATACCTGTCCTTTGTCTTCTAGTACTGTTTCCTTCCTTTATTTGGAATAAAGCTTGAATATTTCTTACTCACTTCTGTTTTTTAGTCCTAGAGCATGAGGCAAATGATGTGTGAACTTCTCTTTCATCTCTCTCCCCTATCCATCTTCTCCTTCAGATAGAAGGGTGTAGTGGAACTAGATACCTAGTGATGGTCTAACTGTGGATGGATTACGGAACTGGAAATTATCTGCTTAAAATTGTAAGGGAAAAAACTTTCAGGTTTTCTTGTTGTGACCCATTGGGGAAGCCAGAGAAAAATGAGGTAGTTCCCATGAAGAAAATGAATAATTTACCTCTAGCAGCCCTTAATTTAGTAGGATTTTATTTATTTATTTTGGACTTGCAGTAAGATCTTGAACTGCCCCGTGCCCTCAGTGTCTCAGTAGTTTGGTTACTAATAGCCTTTGCTGGTACAGTTGTCTCCAGTAATGCTGCAATGTTCTCCCTTAACCTTAGCACTTGTAGACCGTGTATCCAAATATTATGGATATATTTTGAAATGCTTTCATTTTGATTGTGCTGAAAGTCATTTGGCATTTAATCTGTGTTCTTTACGATTTTTACCCACTGACTTTTATTAGTAGTGTCTTTATGAAGTGATTCTTTAGTCTTATTATGTAATGTACATTCCTGATGAGACTGTGGACTACAACAAACTGTTGATAAGGGGGCTTGCGGTCAGCTCCTGGATACAGTTACTTCATTGCTTATAGGGTGGGGTAAAATCTAAAAGTGGCTGATTTAATAATAATAGTAAAGTGGCATATTGGTTACAAGAAGGATTTAGAATTAAGAACCTGGGCCCTGTTCTATGCTTTTGTCTTGATCTTTTTTTTTTTTTTTGTCTTTGAACAAGTTATTTAGCTTTTAGATACCTTGGGTTTTGAATAAAACTTCTTGAAGTTTTACTTTAAAAGGCTCCGTAAGTAGGAACTTTGCAGCATTCACTTTTCTCTCTGAGCAAATATGGCTTTTGAGTGACCACACGGGACTGGCTCAGATAGAAGTCGTCCGTTAAGCTGCTGTAGAAGAATTTTCACCAGTTTGTATAGAAAGGAAGTGTTTTGTGTGTTTGTACGGTATTTACCACTGTAGGATCTTGGTGCTGACTGGACCCTCTGAATAATTTAATATCATGAGGACTTAGGATCCAGCGAGGATTGTATGTATATTGCTTTGCAATAAGGTCTATGATATTTAATGCTTGTAGCGTGCCTTGTGTCTCATATGAAGTATCCAAGAATTAATATAGCTATTTTCCTAATTTTTTTTCATTCTAGCATGAGGAACTTCCAGAGTTGTCATAATCAAGTTACTTAATTACTTGATTGCTTTATAAATAGTCTCACCTCTTCCTAAATCAGACATCTTTTCTCTTTCATTTCCAATTAGGCAAAATCTCTTCTTTCAACTGCTCAGTTTGTGTGTGGGGGGGGGGGTGGGGTGTCTTTTTTTTTTTTTAATCAACAAAAACTCTGCAAGCAAAGCTGCTCTTTTCTCTCCTTTATGCTTTTGTAATCTCCTAAGGCTGTACAGCATATGCATCATGAGCCTCCCTCCTGGAGGCAGTGGCTCTCAGCCTGCTGGTTTTCACTGAAACCTTGAAACAAATCAATGTGGAATGGAGGAGGGAGAAAGCAGAAGGGCGGGGGGGGGGAATAAACGCGATTAAGCAAAGACATCTCATTACTACTCTGGAAAGGGAGGATTATAACCTATAAAATAGGAGAATCTCATTTAGGGGCCATGTGCGCCTGTTTTATCAGGACAAAAGGAGAGCAAATAGAATAAATGAAATTAATACTTTGAAAGAAGCATTACCCGGATTTGAGAATTGAACTAATATGATTTGTGCAAAGCCCTAAAGTTCTTATCTCCCCACTTAATACCCATAGGATAATGGCTTTGTCAGAGTTACTGACCAAAAGTCTTCCGTTCCTTTCCGCTTTGAAAGAATGGATTCAGAAATGGGGTGATGGAAGGACAAACTTTGCACCATAATTAGCTTTTTCAGGCAAGACTAGAGGGCATTGGTTGCTGTGTGCAAAACAGACCAGATGCAGAATTCCTGCACTGCTGGGGAAGTGTTTCTGTAGCTGTTAATGAAGGACAGCTTTCCATTCCCAACGTTCCTGCTTGCACCGTGCTCACTGGCTTGCTGGCTCACTGGCTCTGCTTTCCTGTGGCTCCAGCCCTGCACTGTTGCAGTTAGCCTGCCCTCGAACATGAGTCTGGAAGAAATCCCCACAAGATGTGAGAGTTGGTCCCATCTCTAGTTGCTTGGGCAACTGATTGTAGTTAGTCATAGGCCGTGAGATTCCTTCCAAATTACTTTCTTTTCCCGGAAATAACCTGTTCACTCTTCAGAGCCTCTTTTCATCTCTTGCTGATTCAGGAGAGAAGGGCCGAAATGAGAATGCTGGGTGGGAATGATTTTTGATCAGTGTAAAGGTTTTTGATATTGGTGTGATCTTGTCAGTGTGGGATTCTGAACTCTTGAGGCTTGAGCGTGTCAAACTTTGAATGCTTCTGTTGCTGGGTGAGTGTAGACTGGTCTGACACTTTAACCCCTACGTTTTCTTCCCCAGCTTAAATGATGGGTAGGTAAAACTGGTGAAAGTGACATAAATTAGCTGTTCATATATTTATGTAATGGAAAAACAGGTTGAGAATTTCAGT